GAGGGGGACTGGTCGGGCCTGCGGGACAGGAAGAAGCGGAGGGCCTTTAGGCCATCTGCATGGGGAATGCAGGTGTATAGGGACTGGACGTCCATGGTAAATCTTGTTTTTCTGTAAAGCTAGCCAAAGTCATTTGTATTCCTACTGCCATCTTGAGTCATCTTTTTTTGCTTATTGGCGCCCAGGTTAAGTGGGCAATGAAGGATTAAGGCAAAATTGAAGTACATAATTTGTCTTAACACACTGATTATGGAGTCACAGAGTCATCTTGCATAGAAATAGACCTTTCGATCCATGTTGAACATAATCTCAAACTAAACTAGTCCCACCTGCCTGCTTCTGGCCCATATCTCTCCAAACCTCTCCCATTCATGTACTTATCCAAATGACTTTTAAACATTGTAATTGTGCCCACATCCACCATTTCCTCAGGAAGTTCATTCCACATGCAAACTACCTTCTGTGTGAAAGATTTGCCCCACATATCTTTTTTAAATCTTTCTCCTCTCACTTTAAAAAATGTGCCCCCTAGTCTTGAAATCCCCCAAATACAGGAAAAAGTCAACTACCATTAACCATTAACCCTTTCTATACGCTTCATGATTTTACAAACTTCTACAAGGTCACTTCTCAACCTCCTGTACGCCAGTGAAAAAAATCCCAACCTATCCAGCCTTTCTTTGTAACTCAAATCTTCCATTCACAGCAACATTCTGGTAAATCTCTTCTGAACTCTCTCCAGCTAAATAATATCCTTCCTACAACTGGGTGACTATAACTGGAGACAGTATTCCAGAAGAGGCCTCACCAATGTCCTGTACAATGACTTCCCAACTACCATAGTCAAAGGTCTGAGCAATGAAGGCAGGAATGCTAAACACCTTTTTAACCACCCTGTCTATATGTGATGCAAACTTCAAAGAATTATGTACCTGAACCCCTAGGTTCCTCTGCTCTACAGCACTTCCCAAGGCTCTACAATTAAATGTATAAGTCCAACCTCTGTTTATTGGTTAATTATTTTAATTAAAGTTAATGTTAAACACTGAAATTGTAAGTAACATCTTACCGTCCCATAGTTTCTAGAACTGAATCAGTAATGTCATATGTTGGCATTACAATATCTCTTGTGTTATCTGACCCACACCAGGAAAATATAGGGTGAAGCTTCTCGGTAGTTTTTCTCTTTTCTAAAGGCCAGTCACCGAGATTTACAAAGAACTCTACATCTTGCATTTTTACCTAAAAGTAAAATATATTAATATGAACACACTGCATCAATGCTTTATTAGCAACTTATTTTTGTTAGTATTCTGTTGGCAGTTCTTCCATTTTACTGAGATTTCATCATAGCTAAACCAAACACCAAATTATGATAATTCAAAAAGATCCTGGGGACTTAAACTATACACTATATTTATTACTAAATTAGATAATGGAATAGAAAGCTCATATACAAATTTGCCAATAACAAGATAGGTGGCAGTGCAAGCACGGTACATGGAAGCATAAAATTACAAAGGTTCTTTACCGAATAAGTGAATAGGCAAAACTGTGGCACATGGACTTCAATATAGGCAAACAGGAGGCTATCCACTTTGGACTTAAAAAAGCAGAGGTGACTTTATAAATTATGTAAAACTGAAACACTGGAAGTTCAAAGATACTTGTGGATTGAAGTGCAATACACTGAACATTAAAATAAAATGAAAATGGTACAAAAAGGCTTGTGGAATGCTGGCTTTTATCTCTAGAGAACTAAAATACAAGGCAATAGAAGTCATAATGCTGCTAGCATCTAATTTTGAAAGCCCAAGATACACTAGACCTGGACCACTTTTGGCAGTCCTAGACTGGGAAGGATATGTCAACTTTGGAAGGACTACTATATAGATACATCTAGATTATTAATAGTTTTTTTAATGAGGATATATCACGCAAACTACTCAAACTGTATTCCCTAGAATTTGGAATTTGAGGGGTGATTTGATCCAGGCTTTCAAGATATTAACAGCAGATGATAGAATAAATAGAGAGAACTTATTTCTGCAGATTCAGAAGTCTAGGATTAGGGGACACAATCTAAAGACAAGAGCTAGACCTTTAAGAAGTGAACTTATGAAACGCTTCTATACATAAAGGATAGTAGATATTTGGAAGTCATCCACAAATGGCAATTGGTGCTAGGTCAATTAGTGTCATAGAGTCATACAGCACAGAAACAGACCGTTTGGTCCAAGTCATCCATGCTGACCAGCCAGTTGCCCAAACTAAACTAGTCCCATTTGCCTGCATTTGGCCCATATCCCTCTTAACTGTTCCTATTCATGCATCGGTCCAAATGTTTTTTAAATGTTGTAACTATACCTGCATCTACCACTTCCTCTGGCAGGTCATTCCATATATGTGCTGTCCTCTGTGTGAAAAAGTTGCCCCTCAGCTTAGGATGTGATGATGGGAGAATAACACATTATTGGTGCAAATATGCATCCTCTTACTCTGTAGTTCAACAAACGGGAGATCTAAATCACCATGCTACTCAAGTCTCTAGACTTCTTTTGAAAATGATTACAGTAACCAATAGGGTAGTATTTGTAACTGCAAATGCTTGTGCCTTTGTATTTCGCACCCTGAAATTTAATACAGGCAAAATATTTGGAAACAAAATCAACTTCTCAAATAAAATTTCTTCCAAAGGGCACTTTCGTTGGTGCTCCTGGCTAATATTCTGTTGCACAGATGGGAAACAAATGAGCTCTCATGAGTACATTCACTTGTTACATTGTGTACAAAGCAATTAATGTACTTCTACTTTCGAATTTACTACTCATTCATTGTCTGAACAGAAAATAAACAGGAAACAGGGCATAGTTTTATATATTCTCCACAGCGAAATGTAAGCAGCTCTGATTTCAGTGACACAGTAATAAAATAAATGAAAAGAGCTGCTGGCTTCTGAGCATCCAAGACCTAAGCATAAGACATTGTTTCTGTAGTTATCTCCACAGGTAGTGGCAGCTCAAAGGGAATATTATTCCAAAGGCTTCTGTTGTTGGAGGCTCAGAGTCATTTTGACTCAGTTGAGAGAATAGAAACATAGTAAAACAGAAACTGAAATAGGCCATCCGACATCTCAAGCATGCTGCATGATTCAATCCAACCACGGATGATCTTCCACCTCAGCTCCACTTTCTGGCCTTATTACCATATTCATAAATTTTCGGAGTGTCCAAAAATAGTGAACAATCTACACCTCAGTACAACCTTGATAGGGGAGGCAATGGCCCAGTTATATTATTGCAGGGCTGTTATTCTGGAGACCCAGTTAGTGTTCTGGGGACCCGGGTTCAAATCCTGCCGTGGCAGATGGTGGAATTTGAATGAGAGCCTAATAATGACCACACATCCGTTGTCAATTGTTAGAAAAACCCACCTGGTTCACTAAACTGCCATCCTTAACTAGTCTGGTCTACATGTGACTCCAGACCCACTGCAATGTGGTTGACTCTTAATTGCCCTCTGGGCAATTAGAGATGGGCAATAAATGCTAACCTAGCCAGCAGCACCCTCATCTTGTGAGTGAATTAAAAAATCTATGCTTCCAGCAAATTATTTCGCAAATTTAACATTAAACGTGTTATATTAAATCTGACATTCAAAGAATTTTGTTAACTCAAAATTATCATGGGATGTGGAGCTAAGATTTGTTAATGTTACAACAGCAATGATGTCACTGAATAGTAAAACAGGATTGAGGAGCCCCTGCTCATATTTATCAAACCTGCTCAAATACAAGCAAGATATCTTACCTTTCGGGTCAGAGACAGCAAAATAGAATCCATGAATATTCGGAAGCCAACATGTTCTCCGAATGTTTTTATATAAACCTAAAAGAATTTTAAAAATGCAATTAACACACTTATTAAATCAAATAATCGCTGAATTTAATGCATAATAGGAAGTTTAAAAGCTACGAAACAAGAGACCGATTGTCATTACACCCAGACCTTTGTGCTCTGTCTTCATATTTACTGCAGGTTCCAACGGTAGGTATTACAGTGAACTTGGTCACACTTTCTGGAACACTATCCCTGAACTGCTTGGTTTTTCTTTGAAAAGTCACCATAGAACATGTGTCCTCAAATTAGTCTTCAAGCAACTCCCCTAAATCTCTGTGTGAACTGACCCCCATTTTATCCCGGACTAGCGCAAGGTGTTGATGTATTTCCATATAGTAATGGGAGGGGGGGGAGCAAACTAATCAGTTTATGATGTCCGATGATATGACGCTGGTACTTCCAATGATATATTGTACAGTAAATGTTTCTCCACTTCTGCGCTGTTGATTTGTTTGAGCGGTTTTTTATAAATCAGTAAGCACAATCTGGCTTGTACCACGAGTGGTGCATGTGCTATAGTAAACTGGACAGTTTTTTTCTAAGAAATACGGTGTTTAAAAACTTTAGGGATTAAAAAAAAAATTTGAGAAGGGACAGAGAAATTTGATAGAGTTTAAAAATATAGTGGAAAGACAGAGAGACAAAAAGCAATATTGCATCAGAGATAGTAGGAACTGCAGATGCTGGACAATCTGAGATAAGAAGGTGCAGAGCTGGATAAATACAGCAGGCCAAGCAGCATCAGAGGAGCAGGAAAGCTGACGTTTCGGGCCTAGACCCTTCTTCAGAAATGGGGGAGGAGAAGGGGGTTCTGAAATGAATAGGGAGAAAGGGGGAGGCGGATAGAAGATGGATAAAGGAGAAGATAGGTGGAGAGGAGACAGACAGGTCAAAGAGGTGGGGATGGAGCCAGTAAAGGTGAGTGTAGGCGGGGAGTTAAGGAGGGGATAGGTCAGTCCAGGGAGGACGGACAGGTCAAGGGGGCGGGATGAGGCCAGTAGGTAGGAGATGGGGGTGGGGCTTGAGGTGGGAGGAGGGGATAGGTGGGAGGAAGGACAGGTTAGGGAGGCGGGGACGAGCTGAGCTGGTTTTGGGATGCGGTAGGGGGAGGGGAGATTTTGAAGCTTGTGAAGTCCACATTGATACCATTGGGCTGCAGGGTTCCCAAGCGAAATATGAGGTGCTGTTCCTGCAACCTTCAGGTGGCATCGTTGTGGCACTGCAGGAGGCCCAGGTTGGACATGTCGTCTGAGGAATGGGAGGAGGAGTTGAAATGGTTTGCGACTGGGAGGTGGAGTTGTTTAGTGCGAACCGATCGTAGGTGTTCCACAAAGTGGTCCCCAAGCCTCCACTTGGTTTCCCAGATGTAGAGGAGGCCACAATGGGAACAGCGTGATTGGATTTTGAACTCAAATTTTAAAAATGGATAGGGAGACAGATAGGAAAGTAAATGGATCATTTTTGAAAAGGACAAAAATGGAGACAAAGTCTAAAAACACAAGAAAAATGTAATAGTGAAGGAGAAAGGAAGAAAAAATAAACAGAAGGAGACACGGATCTAATTAGACAGAAAGTATGGCAAGGTGCAAGAGAAGGTAGCAAACAGACAAAAGAAAAGGATTATGGAACCACAAAAGCTATCAGTGGCCAAGAAACAGAGCTGTGGTGAACAGGAGAAATATCAGTGAATGCCCCAGAAGATGACAGATGTTATGACTAAGGCTCGAGGCTGTAGTCTAGTTTCACTCTATTCGCACTACGTCATAAGTCAAAACTAAATAAAAATACTTTTTAACAGTTACCCAGGTGACCAAATAAATAACTTAATTATGCAAGTTTTAAATAGAAAGGTGTATCAGACACAATTATTTGTATATTAAACAAAACTTATTTGATAAAGTTGCAGTAATTGGCTAATATGCATAGCTAGTAATATGCAAGTATAAATGTTTATCCCTCTAAGCAACTCAAAACACTCAGATAATGACACATTTTTCTGAAAAGAGAAAGAACAGATTTCTCTCTATAAAGATTCACTTTAAAAACGAACACTGAACTTCAGTAAATTTATGGTACAATGTTTTGCATAAAATATTTTCACATTGGAAATAATTAGAACTGACTTCATGTGACATTCAGCATGTTCAGGGTATGATGCAGATTTCCAGTCAATAGACCATATTAATACAGTGTCAGAACATCGTTTTGAATAAAATCTGGAACATCTTTCTGAATCTCTTTCCATAATTATATATTTAATGTTTGTTAAATCTGTAGACAAAAATTAAACAGAATTACCTTATTGTCTTTTACTGTGTAATGGCACAGACTTTGCCTTTGTCCAAATCTTTTCGCAATTTCTGCAGAAATTCTGTCTGGATCTACAAAAGGAAAATGGGCCAAATCTCGTTCTATCTGTGAAAAAGACTGTGGACAGTGCATGTCCTTGTACCACTTGGTTCCATCTTCTTGTGGACAGTCACATGATTCATGGTACACATGGCCTACAAAGGCAAATTGCATTCACTGTTGCCATTAATCTCCCAAATAAAATCTTTACAGAAAATCAAAAATCATCAAAATAACAATTGTATCAGTCAGCCCTTATTTATCTATGTATGACTTGTGAATACAAAGTTTTAATATTATTGAATGTAAACTTGAACTCAAATCATTGAAAACTTGTCAGAGCTGGAAAACCTTACAGCAATAAGATTGACTGACTGGGAAAATTTTACACCGTACGGGAAACATTTCATTTAAAGTATATTAGAACTGGTACACATCATTTACAGGTAATTTACTAAAATATACAACAATGTAAAAAAGTGTCCTTAATATCTTGCTCTTAAAGTCTATGCTAAAAAAAACTGCACCAACGACAACCTATAATGGCAATTCTGTCACTGATGTGACAGGTACGTAAGTCACAAATATTCCACCCTCAAGTTAAGCAAGCTCCTTAATGTAATTTTTAAGACATATGATATGATAAACATATCTGATTCTCTAACTACTCATCACTCTTGTTAGGAAAACTCCTGCGCTCAACAACTACCTTCCCCATGAATAATTTAATACTGCAACATTGCATTTGGGAGCAGTAGGAAGCGAGTATCATGCAAGGAAAGGGAGTTTCAGGCAAAGATACCATGGAATTGTGGGCAAACAGTGGGCAACAAAAGCTGATTTTCACAGTAACGTACCAAGAAAGGATAAAGAAAAAGTGAGGTCAAACAGCAAATACTGCAATTCTTCTGCTCCAGCAAGATTTCACCCAGTATATTTATATTCCAATATATTACATCACTGTGCTGTTTCATGTTAATTATACAGAAAAATCACAAATACCTTTTAAAACATATGGTGACTGAGCAACATGTTCATCTTGGAATTTAACCTCAATTACCAAACCTCTGTAGCTTGAATACATTCGGTATCTGACAAGAAATGATCCATCTTTCCGGTCCAACACTTGTGTCCAAATCCTAGTGAATTGCTCGCCAGGTGAATAAATATTTACTGTAAATGTATTTTCACCTGGTGAAGAAGTAAAGCTGTTCGAAAAGGAGTATCATTAACACAAGTAACAATGCAAATGAATATAATTCATTGTAAAGAACACATTTAAAAGGTATCTAGGCCAGAACAGTTTTTGATAGACTCACAGACAAATACAAAATTAAAACAACACAACTCCGAATCAATTTCTCGATGTTGAGAAACGTAATTTTGATATAAAAAACTCCAAAATTAGTGTACAAGTTGTAATTATTACAATGTTCCCCTCCCCCATTTTGAATACTAAAATTTGTAGCACACAACAGCATTTTTATGTATTTAAAAAACCTATGTGGAATAACAGATATTAATGGCAAACTACAAAACCAATGCCTATACAATAAGATTAATAATTACAATAAAATTGTTACCTGGTTTGTGTGATATTATGTACTGTAGTAGATTGGGAAAAAAAACATCATTTGTATATTCAAGAATTGTATATTTATAGAAAAATCATAATATTTTTGTGACAATGTTCATTAGTTAACAAATTATCTATTTTAAAATTACAGAAAAACAATGATGCACTCATTCCCCAAAGATAAAAGCCTACACAAATCCATTTAGATTTTTGGCTGTTAACGGAAGTAAAGGACTTGATATCCAGTGTGAGTCTTGGCTCACTGATACCACTCTCAGCACCATGCCTGAAGGTCAAGATTCAAATCCCAGTCCAGGATTTTAGTAGATAAACTCTGTTGTAATTTTTGGGGGGTGACGGCCTAGTGATATTATCACTTGGCTATTAATCCAGAGACCTAGGTAATGTTCTGGGGACCCAGGTTCAAATCCTGCCAAGGCAGATAGTGGAATTTGAATGTGATAAAAATCTGGAATTAAACCACCTAATGGTGACCATGAATCCATTGCTGATTGTTGGGGGGAAAAAACTCTATCTAGTTCACTAATGCCCCTTTAGGGAAGGAAACTGATGTCCTTACCCCTACACATGATTCCTGACCCATGTGGTTGACTCTTAAGCCCCTTCTGGGCAATAAATGCTACCCTGGCTGACAATGTCCTAATCCTATGAATGAATTTTTTAAAAAATCCTGCACACTTCTGAGGAAGTACTGCAATGTGCTCTTGGCCATGGTATTAACACAAAGTCCAGTTTGCTTTCTCAGGTAGACAGAAAAGATGTATTCCATCTGTTGAATAGCACAGAAACACTGATAGTGTCTTAGTCAGTATTTACCTCTCAACCAACATCACTAAATTCACTTTTTGTGGAAGCTTGTTACTTAGGAGCAGATGGTTGTTGCATTGCCATACAACATTGACTTTACTTCAGAAGGAATGTATTTGCTATTAAGTGCTCTGGGCTCTCTTGAAATCATGAAGCTATTCAAATGTAAACTCTTTCTTGACTTGGGAAAAGTGTTGGAGGTTTGGACCTGATGCCTAGCATCTGTCAACAACTTTAAAAACAGAAAGGGGAGTGGACAAAGGAAGAGAAGCTTTGGATGATATGGTGACCCAAATATTGAAAAACAGGTTTTGCTTTAAATTTATATTCTTTACTAATTATTATTGTCCTTACCTTGTAAATAAACTTTATGTTTTTCTGCAGTTGTTTTTGACTAGAATCTAATCACTGATGTCCTCTCCTCAGCAGCATTACATTTGTACATACCTGAATTTAGTTGAGTTCATTTCAGTACAAGTCCTGAATTTATTTTTAAGATTGAGATTTGTGTCTTTTTCTTATCTGTTCTAAATTTTCTGTCCTGTCCTCTTCTTGGACTTCCTCAACCTAATTGAGAGCATGGACCATTTAAGGTGTGAAAATACATATTCAATGTTTCCTCTCATCCAGTGAATAATCAATCCCACTTGTTCTTAATACTATCCCACAACTATGGAACTGAACTTCGCTTGATTTGACAGACCTTGATCTTTACTCAGATGTATTTGATATTGGGACACAATAAACCTTTTACAGGTTTGGTTAAAAAAAAGGAGTTTTTTAAGGGATCTTGGCTAGCTGCAAATCAACTACCTGATTTGAACTTAACACTTATATGCACAAAATAAATTTTGAACCTGGAGATCTTTAACTGTTTTGATATCCACTCACCAGAAATCAAACAAAACTTCAAACCTTTGTACCAGTGAGTGTTGGACACTTTAATTTGCTCCAAAGCTTCAAGGTCCATTCTTGACAAGAATTATTCCCAGATTATTACATAAATTATATATTGGAAGTATACACTCAAATTGATTGATCTTCATTCTGAGGGATGTTAATCTAATATAAATTATGACTGTAAATCACACTATAGCATTCTTTGGCTAATTATGTGCCATCGATCAAGTTAAACATCATTCTAAATGTTATTTACACATTTTTTTCCTTATTGCAAATCAAGATATTTAATCTGACTCTTAAAGTGCTGTTTATGACATTATAATGTTTAGTATTGTGCCTACGAAAAAAATTGCTAAAATACATGTTATATGTACAGATTAGGGATGGCTGAATGTGCGTGCGTGTGTGTGTGTGTGAGAGAGAGAGATTACATATGTCTAATGTACATAAGATTTAACCAAAAGGTAAACTTTATTTGAATGAAATTACTCAGAAAGAAATATGATAGCTGTTTCAGAGCATGTTAATGTTTCTGCATTTATTGCAGTGTGTGAAACAAAAACATTTTTTCCCAAATCTGAAGCAAGATGGATTACGGGTTCATATAGTGCATTATGGTGAATATGGATACCATCATGTGATTTCATATCTGGTACTTAAGAGCAAACAAAAGACACTTCACCAACGGGACAGTAAAATCAAACAGAATACCTTAGAACTAATCACAAGTCATCATCTCAGGAAAAAAAAAGAGGCTAAACTTATAAATGGGTTTGAAAAAGGAGAAAATAGTTTTAAAAAGGCAAAATCAAAATTTGAAGCATAATTTCTTCACTTTGGGTATTGTATATCAGAATTAACCTAGAAAACAGTATGATGTTATTTTAGATATTGGACAGTATTTTTTTTTCAGAAGACTTGAATTTTCACTATCATTTAGATTTTCAAACAGTTCAACGGGTGAAGTTTTCCAAAAAAATTCCAGTAGCATTGGTTTCCTTGAGTGGTCTTGGTAAATTGCCACTTCATCCTAAATATAAATTGCTTTACAAGTAAAAATGTAAAGCATGCTTTACTTACTTGACATTGTCCTCTGCTACTGCCTGAATATAGAAATATCGAGCTGGAAGAACTATGTTTGCCTCCAATCCAGGTCCCCAAACTAAACTTCTCCTTTGACTTACTGTGAATGTACTTTCAACTACAAAGTTCGTTATTGCAATAAAAAAGAAAGTTCCAAGTAGCCAATTTTCTGACATAGTTTTAAAAACAGTTATCTTATAGATTGTAAGCAGCTGAATTAAAAAATAAATCGACGTTAGTTGACCTAACTTCAGAGGTTTAGTTTACAAATGCAGACTGAGAACGATGGCCCTTTAGATTCAATTAATAAGTGTTCATTTTGACCCGATTGAAACGACGTTAAATCTCGATAAAGTGGTTATGACTTTAGTCAGGATCATCCTGAAATCTAACTTGTGAAAATATTTACAGAAAAGAGATTAAACCCCACAACACACAAAGCTGACCATCCTCCATTTCAACCGTGTCTACAGGGGGGAGGAAAAAGCCGCTCCGTGACGACAAAACCCTGCGACAGGATCGGCACGGCGCATGCGTGGGCGCGCAATATTTGCTGGGAAGTGTAGTTTTGTCCTCCGTTGGCGACGGCGAGAACGAAGGTCGTTTTATTGGGGGAAAAAAGTGGCCGCCTGTGTGTCACATTATGGGGGCGACGTTAGCGCCTTGAGGATTTAATTCATTATATTTGAGAGAGAGTAGTATCCCTGGCCTGCCGTCTGGATTGGGGAAGCGGCCAGTGGTTTGTGGATACCAAGTGCAGGCCTAGGCCGCTGTCGGAGCGGGAACAACCGGCTGTCGCACCTGCCGCTGTCTCGGGTTAAAGCAGCGGCGCTCCCTCGGCAATGAACGCAGTGTTTTATCCCAGGGGAATGGGATTAGTTGGCATAGCCGAGCCGGAGGGTTGGTGCTGAGAGGATGGAGCCGAACCGAACCCCTTGACACCAGGTAACCTTCATTTTACAGCCTCCAGTCCCGTCCCCTCAGCAACGCCGATGGGAATGTCCCTGAAATCGCGGGTGCTGCAAATATTAAACAAAAATACAAATTACTGGAGAAACTCAGCAAGTCCGCCGGCATCTGAGGAGAGAGAGAGAGAGGAAAAAAACAGAGTTAACGTTTCGGGTCGAGTGACCCTTGGTCAGAACTGGAAAGTCTGTTCTCTTCATGTCTCTCTCTCTTTTTTAAATGGTTTATTTTATCCTGCGGGACTAACGGCAATTCTTGTCAAACGAGCTGCAAGTGCGGAGTGAGCACAATGACGAATAGTTTTCCTTCATCAAAAGCAGGTCTGGCAGCATCTGTGGGGAAAGAAACAGAGTTAACGTTTCGAGTCCAATCTTCAGAACTGAAAATTGTTCTTTGACTAACTATCCTTTTGTTTTGTTCCTGTTCCCAGGTCTAAATCTAGACTGCGTTTCACCAGCCTTTGCTTCAAGTGTGTTGTTATTTCTTTCCATTATAATTTATTTACAAGTTAATTTTAATGAAATAACCCACAACTTTTTGTTCTACAATTATGTACTGATTTGCTATAAGTTCAGAAGGAGCAGTACTGAAGAATCGTCAATGGACTAGAAATGTTATTTCAGCACAGAAGCTACCAGACCGGCTAGGTTTTTTTCCAGCAACTTCTGGTTTTGGCTCAGTATTCCAGTATCTTCAATTCTTTGTTTTATTTTAGCTTTTATGGCGTCTTTAACGTGGTAGGGATCTCACAATGCCCCATGAGAATATTGTCAGACAAACCTTCAGACCATGATACATATAACTTTAGAGCAGGTGAGTAAAAATCATGGTCATAGGCACAGATTTTGAAGCACACCTTTAAAGGACAAGGAATACTTAGGTAGAGATGTTAATGGAGATAATTCCAGAGCTTAGAATCTAGGCTTGGGTGGCCTGGTAGCAGTGATTAGCACTATTGCCTGTCAGTGCCAGTGACCCGGCCCTGGGTGACTGTCAGTGTGGAGTCTGCACAGTCTGCCTGTGTCTGTGTGAGTTTCTTTCAGGTGCTCCAGTTTCCTCCCACAGTCCAAAAATGTGCAGGTTAAGTGGATTGGCCATGGTTGATGTGAGGTTGCAGGGTTACAAGGATAGGGTAGGGTGCTCTTCAGAGGGTCATTGAGGACTCCATGGGCTGAACGGCTTCTATCTGCACTAAGAGATTCTGATTTCTGAAAATTGAGGACTTGTAAGCACTTAGAATTGAAATACTAGAGAGATTTTGAGGGGTTGTGGGACTGCAGAAGGTTACAGCGATAGGAATAAGACTATAAAGGAAACTTGAAAACTCGGAAGAGAATTTTGAAAACTTAATTTCAAATTTGCAATACATATTTAAGTCTGCAAACACTGAAGAGATAGGTGAACACAGGCAGCAGAATTTTAAATAACCAACTTTATGGTGGATGGCAAACATCAGACTAACCAAGACAGCGTTGGAATAATTGAGTTTGAAAGTTTAATTGAGTTGAAAACAATTCGTGGATCAGGGTTTCAGCAATAGTCAGGTGGTGGGGTGAATATTGGTGAAGTTATGGAGATTGAAGTCAGTGGTTGTGGTGATGGCAAGAATATGGCGTCCAAAGAAAAGCTCAGTCTCAAATAAGAGACAACAAGGTGCAGGGCTGGATGAACACAGCAGGCCAAGCAGCATCATAGGAGCAGAGAGGCTGACGTTTCGGGCCTAGACCCTTCATCAGAAAAGGGGGAGGGGAAGGGGGTT